TACCTGCATTACTAAATGCTTCTTGAGCTGAATTAGAAATATAAGCTACTTATTAGAAAATATTAAGGACTCATTGTGAATATGGTGAAGTGTAATGGGTGTGGTGGTAAAAAGTCCTTATCTTTAGAAATGCACATCTTGAAAGCATCGAAGATTTTGAAACATGGAGCGACATGGTATCTGGGATTTGCTTGAAAGTCTTCCTGCACTCTGCCCCTCAAGATGCTGGAGAGTAAGTCCTTCAGGCTGACTTGTGCATAGTGAACTCCTCCCAGAGTCCAGAGCTGATGAGGGGAAGGCAGGGCGACTTTACAGTGGAGAAGCCTGACAGGCACATGTCTGCCAGATAACCAAGGTCAGTGTCACAGGGATGGTCATGTCACACGTGCCAACATGTGCTGGGATGGGATGGGCACTTCACCTCTGTGGTCATCCCCCCAACACACATGAACCCAGTCTAATCCCGAGAAAAACATCAGGTGAAACCTAACAGAGGGGGATCCTACAACCCCCCGGCTCAGTCCTCCCCAGCACTGCCAAGGTCATCGAAAACAAGGCAAGTCTGAGAAACCGTCACAGCCCAGAGGAGCTAAGGGGACAGGATGACTACATATGGGATCCTGGGTGGGGTCCTGGGATGGATGATAAATGGGTGATAGGTATGAACTAAGGAAACCAGAAAAAAGGATGTATTTTAATTAATAATAGTGTGTCTAATATGGGTTCATTATCTTTCCTTCAAGCTGGGAAAGATTGAGGGCAGAAGGAGAAGAGGGCGTTAGAGGATGAGATGGCTGGATGGCATCACCGACACAACAGACACGAACTTGGGCAAACTCCGGGAGATGGTGTGGGACAGGGAGGCCTGGAGTGCTGCAGTCCAAAAAAAAAGAGTCAGGCACGACTGGGCAACTGAACAACAACATGGGTTCATTAACTGTAACCACCGTACCATATGAGAGTAAAATATTAAAATAGAGAAACTGGGGGGAGCGGGCAGTATACAGTAACTGTACTATCTTCACAATTTTTCTGCCAATCTAAAATTGCTCTAACAATAAAGTTTATTTTAAAAAATACTCCTGCAAAATAAGAGGAGTTGGCAGGCGCAGGGCAGGGGTTGGGGGGGGCAGGGGAGATAAAAGAAGATGGGCAGAGAGTCAGTAACTGTTGAAGCTGGGTGATGGGGGCAAGAGGTTTTGTATACTCTTCTCTGTACTCTGGGCTTCCCTGGAGGCTCAGCTGGTGAAGAATCTGCCTGCAATGTGGGAGACCTGGGTTTGATCCTTGGGTTGGGAAGATCCCCTGGAGGAGGGAAAGGCTACCCACTCCAGCATTCTGGCCTAGAGAATTCCATGGACTACATAGTCCATGGGGTCACAAAGAGTCAGACACGACTGAGTGACTTTCACTTCACTTCACTTCTCTGTACTTTAGTGCATTTAAAAAAATTATATAGTAGGTTTTTCTTAAAGTGGGAGTCACAGATCTAGTATGTCAGGGGAAGAGAGCCTTTCACGCAGAGTGGTGGGTACATACTGGAATAGAAAGAGCACAGGACGGGAGATCACTCTGTCAGTGGTGGGAGCAGAGGACCAGCCCGGGGGTGAGGCCAGCAGGAGGCCTCTTGGCAGAAGATGGGCCTGAGCTGGCCTGGCAGAGGGGCTGAGGGTGAAGCGTGTGTGTGTGTGTGTGTGTGTGTGTGTGTGTATCGGGGTACCATTACAGAGGCATTCCTGGCCCAGAACAGGTCTTCAACAGAGTAGCATAATTACAAGAAGTCACGGTGACTGCCACCAGACTTCCCCCAGGCCATATTATAAAAGCTCTGCAATGGCTTTGTTTCTCTCTTACGACTTCAAACATCATCCACGAGTCTGTTTCCGCCTCATTCCACTTCCGGGATGAAAAGGTTCAGCCTTAACACTGGTCCCTCCAGGGGCGCCAGGGGACCCAGGCACTCCTGCCACGTGCCACGGCGCTGCTCTGAAAGTTGGAGTAGTTTCCCTTCATTCAAAGCAGACACAGCCTGCTGGGAGAATATTGTGATATGAGACCTTCTGGAACCTGACACAGCTGATACTGGGTGCTGACAGTAATTGCTTCGCAAGAATAATGGGAGGCTTTTCTGTCCATCAGGTGCCCAGCCTGGAGCATGACATAAAATGTGGAAAATTAGGCTCGTGTGTAATATAGAGAACCGTCTATAACCGCATGTCTCGCAAAGGAGCAAGAGAAGGAAATGCAGAACTAAAAAGATGCCTGGCGTCAGGAGGACATTCGTGTGGCTTGACAGTGGCAGCAGGTATCGTTATCGTTATCGTTACCTCTAAGGACGTTTGATGGTAAGGTCTCCTACAGGTACACAGAACTTCGCGGTTGCAAAGCTCTTCTGCCCCCATCAGCTCCAGGCTCCTCACTGCCACTGGGGAGCCAGGCAGCGGAGCAGGGATCCCTGGCTCCTCTTTGCAGATGCAGAAACTGAGGCTTGGCAGGTGGTAGTGACTCAGGCAGCTGGCTCCCGCCAAGGTGAAGTTCAGACCCCGCCCCTCTGGCTCTCTGAATCGGACGGGACCGGACTCCCTTCCCTTGTCCCCTCTGCTTTTCGACCCCTCGGCTGGGTACCTCGCCACCTGTCCTCGGCCCCCCGCCAGGAAGATCTGATTGGCCAGCTTGGGTCACGTGCTCATCCGAGAGCCAATCGACAGTAGGAGGCTTGGCTCTGTTCACCAATGGCACCTCTCACCCTAACTCTATCAGGAGCGTGGGAAAGGCTGTTTCCCAGAATGACTCAGCACTACGTCTTCCCACCCCACTCCACCCAGTCCTCAGAAGGAAGAGGGGAAACCCACCTCTCCCAGGGCCTGGGCCTGGAACTTCCCAGCTTCTGCAGCCTTGCCCTGAGAGCGGCAGATGGGAACCAGAACCTGTGTAGCCCCTCCATTCCCCCCACCTCCTTAATGCACTGAGGCGTCCGTTCCTGTGATCAGACTCCAGGCACCCTCCCCTTCCCTGCCCAGACCCCAGTTCACAGGCGCCGAGAGCTGCTCAGATGTCCCCTCACCCTCCTCGTCCCTGGACCTGACTCCAGGACAGCCCAGCCCTACACTGGTTCTTCCCCTTCCCGCCAAGATGTGATGGGCTTGTCCAGGCCTGGCTGGCTTTAGTGGACGAGTGCCCCAAATGAGTGGCCTTATAAGCGCTGGGAGTTCCCGAGGGTTTGAGTTAGACATGCTCGAGTTGCCACACACCAGCCATGCTGCAATCCCACTACGGGGCTGAGAGCATGGCCAGTGCCAGGGTCCCGGCTGCTGAGATGACCTGGGGCATGAATGGGATGCCTAAGAAGATGGGGTGAAGCCTGGGCGGGACTTGGACGAAACATTCGCGTAGACCAAGGGCATAGATGCTGACTCCTGCCGGCGCGAGCAGGCCTGGAGGCGTAGGCTGCCCTCGGTCCACTGTCCACGCCGAAGGTGGTGCCAGGATCCCCATAAATCCAGTCTGTCCGCGTCTCTTCTGACGCAGGCTTTTAGAGAGGAATGTTGTTTGGAATCTGATAAACAGAACCCGAATCCCTTCTTTGTCTCTAAAAAGCTGTGTGACTTTGGGGAGTTGAGTTCCTCTCTCTGAGCCCGATTCTGTTGTTGTTTAGTTGTTGTTTTTGTTCAGTTGCTAAGCCATGTCCCACTCTTTTGTGACCCCATGAATTGTAGCCCACCAGGCTCCTCTGTCCATGGGATTTTCCAGGCAAGAGCACTGAAGTGGGTAGCCACTCCTTTCTCCAGGGGATCTTCCTGACCCAGGGGTCGAGCCTGGGTCTCCTGCATTGGCAGGCAGATTCTTTACTGCTGGCCCCCAGGGAAGCCCTGAGCCCAGTTCGCTTGTCTCTAAATTGAACACGATTGCACCCGCATGGGTGGGTTACCGGGAGGAATAAATGAAGCACCAGCTGCCGAGTGCAGGGGGATTCAGTGCATCTGGTGGTCTCTCCTTCCCACGAAAGAGAAGCCTCATCGCCCCCTGGCATCTTCTAGAGGGGCTCAGAAAGCCCACAAGGGACGTCACCAGCAGAGTTCCGTGACGCACCTGCTGGGCAGAGCCTGGGGTATGGAGGGTGCTTGAGCCACGCTTCCTGGGGATGGGGAGGGTGGCAAACTGTCAGAAATGATGTGGGCTGGAGGCTTTCCCAATACACAGTCTGGGCCCCACCTCGGAGCCTTGGGAGGCAGGAGGGTTTTGAGAAGGTCTTGGGGTATACTCGCAAGCCCTTGGCTAGTCAGGACCACCCCTCTTAAACGATTCCCTTGCACACAGCATCAGGAGGCTCACAAAGCTGTTTATTTTCCCACCTATGATACAGGATGGATGCAGGGTGCAGAAAACCCAGCGACTGCTTTGGCGAACATACTGGAGCTGCACACAAGCCTAACAGGCTGTGGCTTTATGGGGGATTCCTCTGTTTCCACACAATTGTAATTGACCTTTGAAGGGCTCCCCGGGGCATTGCGGCATGCTGCTTCTGGGCAGAATTTATCATACCTGCTCTTCTTTGGTAACTGTGTCTTTAGAATTTCATATACAAAACTTGATTGGCAAAAATAAAGTACCAATGTCAAATTTTCATAAAATCAGGGCAAGAACTGGTTTTCTCTTGCCATTTGGATTTAGCTGCCCCTTGAAAACTGTTTTTTTTCCCCCTTGGTTGTTTAGCAATGCCCAGCCCAGAGACAGGAAAAGGGAGCAAAATTTAACCTTTGTGTTAAAAGAGAAGCAAGGTTTTCAATCAAACAGTTAAGTCATTGGACTCATTATTTAAACACCAAAAGACAACAGATGGACTTATTCATCTGGCCCAGCTTAATACATGTCGGCCTAACACTACAAACAAATGCATAAAACCGAGATATGTCTGGGCGGTACAAACGGGGACAGGGCGTCGTCACAAGGCAATGACTTGGCCTGGAGGCACAGACTTGGCTGCGCTGCAAACCGGCCCCTCAGAACCAATACTCAGAGACGAAGATGTGGACGTTGACGACATTCCGGTGGGACACCACACCCCCAACCACATAGTTCATCTCCAGCTTCAGGACGGCATGGAACGGGCCCACGATGGGCCGCACCTGGCGCACGACACCTGGGGAGAGAGCAGAAGGTGTTTGGGGAGTTAGCAGGGACCAGAGCAACGTGGAGATGGGGGACACGATTTCCCTCCGGGAATTTCAGAGCTGCAGGAGGGCTCGGACCTCATCACGTCCGCCTGAGCCAGGCGCTCAGCATCTCCCTCCAAGTGGTCGCCCCCGGGCTCTGCCACCATCCCCAGGGACGAGTGACAGCAGGCTCACTGCGGCCTGTCCGCTGTGCACAGCTCGGACTGTGAGCGAGTCTGTGCGTGTGGGCTTCGGGGTCCTTGCCTTAGGCTCCACGCCAGCTCCTTTTCTGTCAGCCTGGGTTTCCTCCTCTACCACCATCGACCTAACCAAGAACTGAGAGTCTAGATAAAGGGCTTGTCACAGAGCAGATGCCCAGAAGACACCCGTCCCCCTCTCTCCTAACCCACTCTGCCCACCTGTGACCCATGGGGAGAAACAGCATGTGTGAGCCTCTTCCCCCATCTCTCACGTTGAGGATTGTCCTGGGGGCCTGGAAACCCTTTATCTGAGCAGATAACTCCCAGTTCCCTATGGGACACACTCCTGGGTCCTTCGCCCTCCGCACCTCTTTTTTGGAGGGTGACACCTGAGCCCCTTGTTCAGCGTTCAGGGTAATAGGTGAGCAAGTGGTGGCTCGAGTCCAGCCGAGATGGGTCAGGGCAGTCAGGACAGACGGCATGGGGGAGACAGGTGTCTGTCGGGGAAGCGGAAGCCTGCTGTGTAAAGCTGCTGGGGTGGGGGCAGGGAGGTCTGCCTGGACCAGCATAGGCACCCGGCAAAGGCCATGATGGTGGCCTCCCCAGACGGGGCTCAGGGAAGGGCAGATAAGTTCAGCTCAGTCGCAGTGGAGGAGGAAGAACCCTAAGTGTTCTGTCTAAGTTCCATGTCTCTAGGCCGGACCCTGACATCACCGCCTGCCCACGCAGGGCACCCAGCATCTCACAGAGAGAACGCCCCTGCGCTCGGGGGCCAGATGCTGGGGCTGAGGTGAGCACTCTCCTCCCGGCTGGACGTGGAGAGCCCACCGCCCTCTCGGGCCTCGGATTCCTCAGCGAGCAGACGATGCCACGTGACCCTGTGCTTTGCACAGACTGATCCTGACCCCCCCTCCCCCGCCTCCTCAGCTCTGCATTCACTAAGGTGTGAGCTCCAAGGGTGCAGGGCTACCTCCCCGCCGGACGGGCGGGCTCAGTGCCCCACTTCCGCACGCATTCACGCATTCCTCAATGGGTACCAGGCGCTGGTCACGGTGATGCCGAGGAAACAAACAGAATCCTGGTTTCCACGTCGGTGGTGGACGTAGGTGAGTCCTACACTCTGACAGAAGTCCGCACGCCGTCCAGCGGGGATAAGGATGGAGGTGAGGGAGGCGGGGGAGTCAGGAAAGGCTTCCTGGAGGAAGTGCCTCTCTCCCTGCAGATACCCGTGCCTGGCACAGAGCAGGTGCCACCCCTACAGCTGTTGACATTTGGGAGGGACCCTCTTCCATCGCCCGGCTCTGATATTAGGACCTTCCGAAAGCCGTGTGGTGCAGGGGTATGCTGGAGCAGCCGGCCCTCTGGTTGTGCCATGTGACAATTTCTAAGCCCAACGTGACATCACTGAAGGCGGGGTCAAGAACAACCCACCACTGCAGGGCTGTTTGCAAACAACACCCTAGAGCCTGAGAACCAGCCAGAACACAGATTGTTTGCTGCGTCCAACTGCTGACTGCAGGCTGGTTTGTACAAACAGCCCTGCCGCTGACTTGGGAAATGGGAACCCAGCATGGCCCTTGACACCCACCCTGAGATCAGCGAAGGCTCTGGGGAGTCTAAAGGGGCCCAAGGCCTTTTGCACCCATGGCTGGTTCTTGGTCAAGATCACCAAGTTCATGGTCAGGAAGGGGATTTGGGCAGGCCATCCCCGCTTTCACTCCCTGGGCTTGTTTCAAAGGTGAAGTGCCCAGCAGTGGGGTGGAATTCCAGGCTACTCCAAGCAAACAAGGGCTCTAGCTCTGGTGGAAAGATAAGCAGAAGCTTCGGTGGGCTGTCAGCACCCTTTCTCTGCCCCTGCCTGGCGATGACATCCTAGCTCTGTCCTGTCGGAATGCCCACGAACATTGTCGGCTCCCGGCTAAAGATCGGGGCTTGTCACCACCCACGGTTTGCCTGTGGCCCCCTTCCTAGGCACCGCCTGGGGCTGGGGGCGTCGTGGCCCCTGTGGCGAGCACGGCCCCAGACTCTCCTGTCCCTCAGCACCCTCACCAGTGTGACTGTCTCCTCTCCCCGGGCCGGAGACCACTGCTGGCGCCCACCAGCCTCAGTGGCCTGGGTTACCTGCACCCATCCCTGGAGCAGTGCTCAGAGGGGCTCAGGGGGCTTGAAGGAAAGAGGTGAGAGGCTCAGTGAGCCAGAGAGCTAGTTTAGGACAGAGAGCAACAGAGGTGGAGGGAACACTTCCGCAAGCTATGATCAGACACGTATTTTTTTCTATATGTTGTCATTATACTGTGTGTGTGCGTGATAAGCCGCTTCAGTTGTGTCTGACTCTTTGCAACCCTGTGGACTGTGGCCCTTTAAATATCATATAATCAGTATATGATACAAAAATACATGGGCTCCCAGGTGGGGCAGGCAGTAAGGAACCCACCTGCCAATGCAGGAGACCCAAAAAGACACGGGTTTGATCCCTGAGTTGGGAAGATCCCCTGGAGGAGGGCATGGCAACCCACTCCAGTATTCTTGCCTGGAGCATCCCATGGACAGAGGAGCCTGGTGGGCTTCAGTCCACGGGGTTGCAAAGAGTCAGACACGACTGAAGTGACTTAGCACACATGCGGCGCACACACACACACAAATATAAATATATAAATAGTTTAATTATTATAAATACAAAGTATATATTGTTGGTTGTTGTTTTGTTAGTCGCTCAGTCGTGTCTAACTCTGCGACCCCATGGACTGTAGCCCGCCAGGCCCCTCTGTCCATGGAATTCTCCAGGCAAGCCTACTGCAGTGAGTAGCCATTCCCTTTTCCACTGGATCTTCCCAACCCAGGGATCGAACCTGCATCGTAGGCAGATTCTTTACTGTCTAAGCCACAAGGGAAGCCCCTTCAGGGCACAAGGTTTGAGTCCAATTGACCTCAGTCAGCAGCATGATCCCAGGTTGCTTACTGAACCTTTCTGAGTCCCTACTTCCTCTTCTGTGAAACAGGGATTAAACAGTCACCTTCAGAGTCAGAAACAAAACCATCACAAGGCCATCCTACTAATGCTGGATATCAAAAAGCTCTGCAACATTCTAATGTGATATGAGTTTCAGTTCAAGTAGGACTGAATTCCTCCATGATTGAAAAATAGAGCAAATGTTGAATATTTTTGTTAGATTGCCTTAAACATTGACGAAAAAGGAAAGCTCTGGGTGTCCAGAAAATATATTTAAATCTCAGCATGCACTGTTAGGGCTCTTCATGAGGGTTAGTTTCTAAGATGCCTGAGGACCAGAATGTCACGCTGTCGGCTAAGGGTTCCGACTGTAAACAGCTAAGAGGCCAAACAGAACACTAAAGGGAGCTAAGAGCTGCTTTAGAGAAGAAGGGCACTGAGAAGGGGAAGAGGAAGCGCAAGGCTGAACTTCAGATGCAGGTCACACTCACGGTGTGGATTTTCTCAGGATCTTTGCATTTAACAAGAGAACAACTGAGGTGGAAGACACAGGCATCTGCAAGGGCTCAACAAGGCACGGTGAGAGTGACACAGCAGGTGCCCAGGGAGTCAGCTGCCCTGTCCTTCCCCTGTGACCTGGGGTCCACACTCAACCCCCAACTCTATCTGTAACCCTAGTCGGTGTGACCTGGGGTCCACACTCAACCCCCAACTCTATCTGTAACCCTAGTCGGTGTGACCTGGGGTCCACACTCAATCCCCAGCTCTATCTGTAACCCTAGTCGGTGTGACCTGGGGTCCACACTCAACCCCCAGCTCTATCTGTAACCCTAGTCGGTGTGACCTGGGGTCCACACTCAACCCCCAGCTCTATCTGTAACCCTAGTCGGTGTGACCTGGGGTCCACACTCAACCCCCAGCTCTATCTGTAACCCTAGTCGGTGTGACCTGGGGTCCACACTCAACCCCCAGCTCTATCTGTAACCCTAGTCGGTGTGACCTGGGGTCCACACTCAACCCCCAGCTCTATCTGTAACCCTAGTCGGTGTGACCTGGGGTCCACACTCAACCCCCAACTCTATCTGTAACCCTAGTCGGTGTGACCTGGGGTCCACACTCAACCCCCAACTCTATCTGTAACCCTAGTCGGTGTGACCTGGGGTCCACTCAACCCCCAACTCTATCTGTAACCCTAGTCGGTGTGACCTGGGGTCCACACTCAACCCCCAACTCTATCTGTAACCCTAGTCGGTGTGACCTGGGGTCCACACTCAACCCCCAACTCTATCTGTAACCCTAGTCGGTGTGACCTGGGGTCCACACTCAACCCCCAGCTCTATCTGTAACCCTAGTCGGTGTGACCTGGGGTCCACACTCAACCCCCAACTCTATCTGTAACCCTAGTCGGTGTGACCTGGGGTCCACACTCAACCCCCAACTCTATCTGTAACCCTAGTCGGTGTGACCTGGGGTCCACACTCAACCCCCAACTCTATCTGTAACCCTAGTCGGTGTGACCTGGGGTCCACACTCAACCCCCAACTCTATCTGTAACCCTAGTCGGTGTGACCTGGGGTCCACACTCAACCCCCAACTCTATCTGTAACCCTAGTCGGTGTGACCTGGGGTCCACACTCAATCCCCAACTCTATCTGTAACCCTAGTCGGTGTGACCTGGGGTCCACACGCAATCCCCAACTCTATCTGTAACCCTAGTCGGTGTGACCTGGGGTCCACACGCAATCCCCAACTCTATCTGTAACCCTAGTCGGTGTGACCTGGGGTCCACACTCAATCCCCAACTCTATCTGTAACCCTAGTCGGTGTGACCTGGGGT